TATTCTGCATTGAGCTGTATAGGGGACTACAAATCCCAGCAATAATACATTATACAGCGCAATGCGGAATACCACTAGCTATAGAGGACTACAAAACCCAGCAATAGTACATTATACAGTGGTGCAATGCAGAATACCACCAGCTGTATAGGGGGACTACAAATCCCAGCAATAGTAAATTATACAGCGCAATGCAGAATACCACCAGCTGTAGAGGACTACAAAACCCAGCAATAGTACATTATAGCTGGCGGTATTCTGCATTGTGCGGCATAATGTACTATTGCTGGGCTTTGTAGTCCTCTATAGCCGGTGCCATTCTCCATTAATTGCTGTATAATTTTACACTTTTAATTTCACTATATTGCACACCACACTTTTTTTTTTTTCTTTTTTACTTCCACCGCTCCAAGCTTGCTCCTGTGATGGACTACAATCTCAATACAATCTAGTAGTCCATCACTGGAGCCATTTTTTACATTTATTTTATTTTTATCCGATTAACCGAACTTAATAATCGGCTAACTAATCTATTTTTAAAATAATCGTTAGCTGCAGCTCTAGCGGGGGGGTCAGGGCGGACGAGCACATATGGAGCCGCTGATCGCCTATATGTGAAACACCCGGTAACGGGTGTGTGCAATGGTCAGGTCTTTTCTGCCCGTGCGTGCCCGCAGAAAAAAAATGGCGTCTAGCGACGGCAACCCGCCAATGCAGCAGTGCCGTCCGTCCGTTTTTTTACTACGGGCGGACGGCAAGAGGTTAAACTTACCTGTGTCTTCCCCGGGCGCTCCCGTCCGAAAATTTGAAAATTCTCGGGTGGTTGCAAAGCACCTTGGGGCGGGCGCATGCGCAGTTCACATTTTCGGCCGGGACGCGAGGAGAGACACAAGCTAAGTCTATGGACGCGTGCACCCGCATGCAGACACCGTGGGACAGGAAGTGCCAGCAAGGACAGAGGAGTCAGCGCTGGATCGGAGACCCACTGCAGCGCTGGAGGGACAGATGAAGAGGACAGGAAAGAAGATCGGATTAAGAGACATCATTTAAGGTAAGTGCTTTAATTAACATTGGGGGGAGGGAAAACATTTTTTGACTTTAATGTCACTTTAAGTACAAATTGTCTATGGGATCATTATGTGGAACTGCATCAAATGCTTCGCTGAAATCAAGATAGGCTCAAAGCCTACAGCACCACCCTGGTCCAAAACAAGTTCACTCGGGCTTATGAGCGGATACTTCTCCCTCATGTGGACAAGAAAGACAGCTCATATACTTTAGCATATATGCAAAGATGCATTAGGGCAAACTAGATTATGGGGAAGCTAGTGGCTTTGACCCCATTATGACATTGATAAGGATTGCAATAGGCACAGAGTAGCTGCCTTTTTTGCATTTTCTACACTTGCATGGCCCCTTCCCATCAGACACAGGTGCACCAGTTGCACTATTTGGCCCCATTCACACACGAATCGGCCGGCACGTACAGCTCCGTGCTGCGCCGTACCAAGAAGCTGCCGGGAATTACAGGTGCTGCGTGGGTGGGGGGGGGCATACGGCCGCGTAGCCCCATAGAGAAGGACGGGGGCTGCGTACTAATCACACGCAGCACCTGTCCTTCCTGGCAACTGCAGCACGGAGTTGTACGTGCCGGCCGATTCGTGTGTGAATGGGGCCTTTCCCTGGTTTACTGCAGCTGTATGAAGGTTGTAGCTGGACCCTAGGACAGCCACCTGACCCTGGACTCCTTCCTAGGTTGCCTTGTGGATAATCCAGCATGCATGTGAATGTGTAGCTTAGTGTCCTAGCCATGAAACCATAGGGAAAGGGGATGCCTTAGCTGGAAGGGAATAGTGTTTTAAATCAGCGGGTCCCAAGTACTAAATGTCATTGTAGTGAGGGAGCCTATTTGGCTGCCAATTAAACGTTTCAAGGTGAAAGTGACATGCATGTATGGACCTGTACCTAAAATATCTTGCTGTAAGGAAAGTCCAGGTCACAGGACCCAGATAAGTCCTACACATAGCTGCGTGTTCCTGCATCCCAGCATGCAGTGCAGTCGTCTTCTTGGGACTGAGTACATGCTGCATATTGTTATAGCTCTTACTCCCCCTTACTAATGCAGAACTTTTTACCCCTGAGGAAACCTAGTGCTGGAAAAGGAGTTCTGTAGGTGACAGCTCCAAATTGAAGGTGAGTATAATAGCAAAAGCTGATTTTTTTTTAAATGTGATATTTTAATGACCTATGAATTTATCTTTTTCGTTCTGCTTGACAAGAAAAACCAGGAA